TATATAATATTTCTTCTTATATTGTCATAGAGGAGTATATAATGAGGAGAGTCTTTTAACACCGTAGAAACAATTTAGTCTAGCTGTGAGACTTATATTAAGTAATTATTTTAATTAGAAATTACTTAATTTGCTTTCAATCGTCAATGTTTGCTGACGAATTTATGATGAGGTTAACCAAAAAAGAGCTGGGAAGCTTTTCATAGAATTATAAAGCCTAATTCACAATCCTCTAGAATCTCATTTTTAAATAGGACAATATTTATAATAAGCGGGAAATTTGAAATTAAATTAATTTATAATAATAAAAATTATTATTTTTATTTTATTTATTAATTATTATTATTATTATTATTATTATTATTTATTATATTTATTATTATTAATTATTATTATATTTAATATTAATTATTATTTTTATTTTTGTTTCTAAATTATTTGAATATTTAAAACATTTTGTTTTAGTAATTGCAAATTCATTATTTCCAGAATTTTTTTTTTAAATTTTATCCTTATTTTTCATCAATTTTCTAAATTCCTTGAAATTATGGAACGTTTTAGTATTTCTTTTTTTTTTTTTTTGTAAGTGAGTCAAGTTCATATATATATAAAAATATACGTGATATTGACAATATGAAATTAAATTTTTTTTTTTTTTAAAGAAGAAGACATTATGAGAGAGACAAATTTTAAGAAGCTTCAACCTTTTTATTCGCAAAAAAAAAAAAAATAAATAATTTCGAACGAGGCTCTTCGTGACATTTATATCCAAACGATAGAAATAATTTTACATTCTAAAGGCTTTAAAAAAAGAGAGAGAGAGAAAAAAAAATAATACTTGAACAGCAGTAATGTATTTTATAATCAGCTCAAGAACACGTCATGAAAATAAAAATAATTTGACCTTAAATCTAGCTTTCAAATGATTTAATTTTTTTGTTTCATTTAACAAAAAAATAAAATTATTTTTGATACTTTAAATAAAATAAAAATAAATACAAGAATAATAATAACAAAAAAAAAAAAAAACGTTGTAAATAAAAAAATAATAAAAATAAATATAAAAAATAATTTAAATTTTAATTAAAAGCAGATAATTTTTTTTTTACAATGAAAATTAGAACATAGTTACAAGAAATTGCAGAGAGGGCCTTTAATGGAATAATTAACTAAACGGAATAAAAACTCCGTTTTCGATTAAGATGATTAGCTCAATTAGGCAATTAGATCGATGAATGAGCCAAATTTGTGTTAATTATCCAATTTTTATATGTTTAGTTTTTTATTATTTTATTATTATATATTAAATTTTTTAAAAAAATTTTATAATAAAAATTATTATTAATTATTTAATAATAATTAATAATTAATAATAATTATTATATGCTTTTTGTTAAAACAATTTTTTAATATATAATTATTATTATTTAAAAATTTTGAATTTATTATTATTTCTATTTTCGTTATTATTATTATTATTATTATTATTATTATTATTATTATTATTATTATTATTATTATTATAATTATTTCATTATATTTTTCTATTATTTTTTTGCTCCTAAATTAGAGACATAACCTAAATAAAGTGACTTCTAGGGATTATTAAACATCGTTTTGTTAACAACTCTGAATATATAGTAACTTCTAGGGATTTTTAAATCGCTGTCTCTCTCGTTGTCAATTCTTGTTTTGTCGAACATAACCTCAAAAATTATTGATCGCGCGTCAGGAATTTAAATCTAGTAATTTCTAGGGAATTTTCTCTCTTATTTTATTATCACTGTTCTGAATTTAGAGGCAAAAAAAAAATACCCTAATATTTAATAAAGAAACTATATATTATTAATTATTAATTTTTTTTAATTATCGAAATTCTATTATAATCAAATGAGATAAATTAAAAAAATTATATTATGTAATATTTACAACGTGCATTATTAAAAGTAATAAAGATTTATACGATTTGCACAGTTGACTAACTTAAAAAAAAAATATAGGTATACATTTATATAGAGATTTTTTTTTTTTTTTTTTTTTTTACATATTGTCCAACACACGCCCATTATAATCATCATCATTAGATCATAAAGGCTTGGCTAATATCTTTTAAATATCCACCCCCTTAAAGTTTATATCAAATATTTATTAATAGAACTTTTAAATTTATAAAGATTATTAAATTAATTTTAAATTTTCCTCTACAAAAAATTTTACATAATCTCTATTTATATTTTTAAAAAAACCAAAAAAAATATATATATATATTTTTTCATGGGACCAAAAATTATTTTCCCAGTGAATCAAAAAAAAAAAAAAAAAAAAAAAAAAAAATGAAACAAAATCGTATTTAACAATTATTATTTCGAAAATTAGAAAACAAATGTTTCACTTAATTTTTTTTTTCATTTGTTTTCTTTAAATGTTTAGAAATTAAATTAATTAATTTAAACAAAAGCGAACACTGATTATTATAATAGGACCAAAAAAATTTTTCTTCCCAATAAATCAGTTATTAATATTAAAAAGAGAAAAGGAAATTTTTTTTTTTTTTGAATCAAAATTAAAAAATAAATAACAATTATTATTTTATTATTATTACAAATGATTACCATTTTACTATTAGTAATAAAAATTATTATTTTATTATTAATTAACAATTATTATTTTATTTTTTATTATTTATAATTTTTATAGTTATTATAAGAAATAAATTAGTTCAATTTTTTTTTTTCATATATTTTAATATATTAATGAAAATAAAATTAGCGAATTAAAAAATGTTAATATCATATTTAATATATTTTAAAGAAAATAAAAAAAAAAGATACTAAATTACTTTTTGAAAGAATTTTTAACTCAATTATCGTTTATAAAATGTGTTAATTTCGTTTCATATTCATTAGAGTCAATCTCAAGAAACAACGGTTTTGGATGACGTTAGTTTCGAGAAAAAAAATGTTTTTTTTTTTTAACAGGAACAAGCAAATTAATCGCAAAATGTGATTCCCCGTTACATTAAAGTCGTAATAAAAACAAAATTTAAAATAATTAAAAAATTTTGAAATTAAATAATTCTATGGTATTTGGTATTATTTTGTACAAATAAAAAATAATAATTATTATTAATATTATTATTAATAAATAATAATAATAATAATAACAATAATAACAATAACAATAACAATAACAATAACAACAATAATAATAATAATAATAATAATAATAATAATAATAATAATAATAGGTAATAATAATAATTAATTAATTAATAAATTAACAAAATAATAATAAATAAATAATCAAAATAGTAAAAAAATTAAAAAAATATATTTTTTCTAAGTAAAAAAAAAAAATTGTTACAAAACTAAAAAAAAATAAAATTAAATTAATTAAAAAATTAATTTAATTTATTTAGTTGTTGAAAATTTGGACAAATTGAAATTCGCATAATTTTAAAATTAAATTATTTCAAAATTTTGATAAATAAAAATTCGGATAATTTGAATATTGAGTATAAATAAAAAATAAATAAATAAAAAAAAAACTAATGAAAAGACTAAATATAAGACGTAAAGAAAACACGTTTGGAATTCAATAAAGTTGAGGAATCAATGGAATGTAATTCATGTTTGATATATGTAATATTATCGAAAAATATGTAAAAAAAAAAGAAAAAGAAAAACAAGGCCAGGTACTTGAAGCAAAACGACAATATTTTTCGGTTTCAATTACACATATCTCTCTCTCTCTCTCTCTCTCTCTCTCTCTCTCTCTCTCTCTCTCTCTCTCTCTCTGGGTGTTTGTAACAAAATCTCATCGATATCAATGAGGGGAGGGAGGGATACATGTATATCATATCAAAAAATACGAGATAATATTACATTAACACTATTATTGAGATTGCATTTGACAAAATTTTGTCCCGTTTAAATTTTTCTCGCCAATAGGTACCATAAAAATTTCCCTTCAAAAAAAAAAAAATGATTAATTAGAATTTTCATTTTTAAAGAATTTTGTATAAGAAATAATTATTTTTTTTTTAGACAAATTTTCAAGTTTAATTTTTAAATTAAATTTTAAAAAATTTTCTTTTTATACAAATTTTTAATTAACAAAATTTTTAGGGACGTATGATTATTATTTTCTTAAAAAAAAATAATATTTTTTAATTTATAATTACATAGAATTTTCAATTTTATTGAATTTTCCATAAAAACTAATTTTTCTGCAAATTTTTTTTTAATTAACCCGAAAAATTATTTAACAGAATTTCTAATTGAAATAAGAATTTTGTCCAAAATTGCAAATGACCGAACAATTGATTTTGGCGCGATTTTTAAATTATCAGCCAATTTAAAAATTATTCATAAAATTGGTTGATTGGTTGATAATTTAAAAAACGCGCCCAAAATCGATTTGCAATTTCGGACAAAATTCTATCAATTAGAAATTCTGTTAAATAATTTTTCGTGTTAAGTAAAAAAATTCTGTAGAAAAATCGGTTTTCATGTGAAAATTCAATCAAATAATAATTTGGCTCAAAAATAAATTATGAGAAATTAAATTCTATAAAATGAAAATTCTAACGATTTTTAGAATATATAAACATGCGTTTCAATTTTTGTTTCTTTTTAAAAATAAAATCTTACGCAAAATTTGTTTCTTTTTAAAAATAAAATCTTACGCAAAATTTGTTTTTTTTTTTTTTTAAATAAAATCGTACGAAAATTTTGTTTCTTTTAAAAAGTAAAATCGTACGAAAATTTTGTTTCTTCAAAAAAAAAGTAAAATCGTATGAAAATCTCGAGGAAAAATTGAAATTTCTTTTTTCGTCACTTTTCTTTCGTTTCAAGAAAGAAAAATATATATATGGGAAATATTGTAAAAAATTTTTTGTTTAAATGTAGTTGCAAAAAAAAAAAAAAAAAATTAAGTAAATAAATAAAATTCTGTTATTGCTCGTTTGGGAAAATTTGAAGAAAATTTTATTAACTCACCGTCTGCAGACATTGCCGATGGCAAAAGATCACCAGCCGCTTTTAATTGATCGAATTTTTCTGCCAGCAAAGCCCACCTGAAATTAAAACAACATTTTTCTATTATTGTAAAATTTTTTATTTTTCTATTTTTTCTTAATTTTTTTTAATTTCTTTGTTTATTTATAATTTTTATTTCCCATTTTTATTAAAATTACAAATTTAGAATAAAGAATTTTTTTTTTCCCATTTTATTATATTTTATATACATATAAATTGTTTCATTTAAAAAAAATTTATAAACTTAATTTTTCTCTATTTTGTTCAAAATTGTTTAATTTAAAAAAAAAATTTAATTGCAATTTTTTCTATTTTATTAAATTGTTGTTTCATTAAAAAAAAAAAAAAATGTGAAAATAACAATTTATGAAATAAATTTAAATTTGTCCATTTCTTTTTGAAAACGGAAAAAAAAAATTCACAAAATAAAGAAACAAATAGAAAAAAATCAAAAACAAATAAATAGAAAACAGTAAAAAATAAATATAAAATATAGAAAATAAATGAATTTAAAAAAAGTGAAAAATAAAATATAGAAAATAAAAAATAAATAAATAAAAATAATAAATAAATAAATAAAAAAAAATTTTAATTAGAAAAATAAAGAAACAAATAGAAAATAAATTTAAAGAAGCAGAAAATAAAGAAAAAAAAAATAAAAATTAATAAACAAATAAAAACAAAAAAAAATACCAAAATTAAATGAATAAGAAAAAAATAAGGGGAAAAAAAAATCTCGTACTTCGACGGTGGAACATTGTGTTTTCTTTGAAGATCCATTCGTAATCGTTCGCCAACGTGTCGATAAAAATCCGTCAATGTACTTAATGCGGTTTCCCTTACTTTTTCCGTTGGATCCGACAATAATTTTACAATACTTGGTATCACACCAGAAAGTGTCATTTCATCTGCGCCGTGTCTGTAAAAAAAAATAAACATCAATATTTAAAACAAAACCTAATTATTCTATTTTCAATATTATAAATATTCAAAAGGAAAATATAGAATTTTTTGTTTTTTTTTTCAAATAAATATTTATAATAAATAAAATAGTTTAGAAATTTTTTTAAATTTTAAAAAAAATGTGTAAATAAATAAAAACAAATTTTTCAATTTATTTTTTATTTTTCATTTTAAAATTATGTATTTGCAAAAAATATATTCATGAAAATTTTTAATTTTAAAGCCATTTTTTTTTATATTTTCCTTTTTAATTTTTATAGAATAAAAAAAAAAAAAAAAAAAAAAATTCTAAATATTAATAATAGCTTACTCGTTAAGTGCAGTTGTTAAAAGGATCATTGCATCTTCTCGTAATTTCGCATTTTTATGACTAAATGCAGGTTGAAGTCTATCGACTAATTGTTGTGGTGTCATACTTCCTTTTTCCAAAATTTTCAATATCACCAATTGCGCCTTCTCTCTTGTTTGATCTTTGCTGTCGCCTTTTTTTTTTTTAAAAAAAAAAGAAACAAATACAAGAAATTAGAAAAATATTAAACAAATCAAATAGTAAAATTTCTATTTCTAATTTTTTTTTTTTTTTTTCAAGGAAAAAAATTTTTTATTTTATTTCTTAAAATTATCATTTAATCATATTTTATAATTTTTATTAATTTTAAATATTATTTTATATGAAATATTCTATTATTTATTGTTCCTTCGTGGGCTTTTTAAACCTACAAACTTGAAATATTTAAATTAATAAATAAAAGTTGAATTTTTTTTTTTTTTAAATAAAAATTTATTTTATTTATTAAAATTTGCAAAATTTTTTTTTCAAACAAAAAAATATTAAATTTTATTTATTAAAATTTGCAAAAATTTTTTTTCAAACAAAAAAAATATTAAATTTTATTTATTTTAAAATTTGCAAAATTTTTTTTCAAACAAAAAAATATTATTTTATTTATTAAAAATTGCATTTTTTTCCAAACAAAAAATTATTATTTTATTTATTAAAAATTTGAAATTTTTTTTCTATTTCTAATTTAATATTATTATAATTTTTAAATTCTAATTTAATAAAATTAAATTCTTAAATTCTAATTTAAAAAAAAAAAAAAGAATTGAAATTTTTGAAACTTACCCAATTTATCAATTGTTGCTGGAATCACTGACGAATTATAAGGTTTAAAATCAGTTCCCATTCGATCAGCAAGGAATGTTAATATTTCCAATCCATTTTGTACGACCTGTAAGAAAGAAAAGTAAATAAAAAAAAATTATAATCACAAAACAAAAATAATTTCCCTATTAAAAAAATTTTATTCACTTTCATTTTGTTAATTAAAAATTAAACAATAATAATAATTATTATTATAACAATAATTATTTTTTTATTAAAAATATTTTCAATTATTTCAAAATTATTTTCAATAAAATAAAAATAAAAGCAAATAAATTATATTTTTTCATAATAATAATAATAATAATAATAATAATAATTATTATTATTATTATTAAATAACATAAATTTATTATTTCTAAATTATAATTTACCTAATAATTTCTACTGATTTTATTTTTTGATTAATTTTTTTTTTTGTCCATTAAATTCGATTATTTTATATTTTTATTATTATTATTATTATTATTATTGGATTTATTATTCCAAATTTTATTAAATTGTTGCTTTATTTGAAAAAAAAATATTTTTATTATTATTAAAATTATTATTATTGGATTTATTATTCGAAATTTTATTAAATTGTTGCTTTATTTGAAAAAAAATATATTTTTATTATTATTAAAATTATTATTATTTTTTTAATATTATTAAATATTTATTATAATTACGATTTGTTTTAATAATAAAAATTATAAATAATTTGGAATAATAGACGATTTATTTTTCTTTTAAGACTATAAGAAGAAAGAGAGAGAGAGAAAGAGAGAGAGAGAAGAGTCCCAGAGAGAAGCAATTACAAACAGGAAGGTAATAAGTGCAATAAAAAAGGCCTATTCTAAATATAGTAGTGAACGGGTCGGGCATAACATCATCACCTTTACATTATATTATCTACTGAGACATATTATATGCCTTTGGGTTTCGAATATAAATATTGTTGAATAAAAATTAGAATAATAAAAAAAAAAAATTTGAATATTTATATGAAAAAAAAAGAAAAAAAATTCTCCCTTGAAAAAAAATGACGTCAAAAACAAAACAAAAATTACTCAATCATTGTACATAACAAAAATATCTCTCCCACTAAAAAAAAATATGTTTTATTATTCTTTGATATAATTCTATTACTTTTATTAATTTTATTATCTTTATTACATTATTATTATAATTATTGTTATAATAATAATAATTATTATTATTAGTCATTTTTATTATTACTTCAATTATTTTAATTATTAATTTAATTATAAATTATTACATTTTTAATATTATTTTTTAAATAAATTAATAATAATAAATAAATAAATATTATTTTAAATAAATTAATAATAATAAATAAATATTATTTTAATAAAACAAATAATATAATTTATTAAATTATTATTGTTTTCAGATTCTTTATATTTGTTTTTGAAAAATAATAAATAAAATTTATTTAATTATTTATTTTTGTAAATAATAATTAGTAATAATTTTTTTATATATAGTAATAAATAGAAATAAATAGTACTAAATAGTAATAAATAGTAATAAATAATAAATAATTATAAATAATTACAAATAATAATAAATAAAAATAAATAAAAAAAGTAATAAAAAAAATAATAAATAAAATATATTTAATTATATTTATTTTTGTAAATAATAATTAGGAATAATTTTTTTATATATAGTAATAAATAGTAATAAATAATAATAATAAATAATAAATAATTATAAATAATAATAAATGAAAAAGTAATCCAAAAAAAAAAAATAAATAAATAAAAATAAATAAAAAAAGGAATTTAAAAAAATAAAAAGAAGGCTTTTAAAAAATTTTTTAAGTTGTATATTATATATATATATATATATATATATATATATTGTATCGGTATATAAATAATAAAAGATACGAGACATTTTATTGAACTAGTCATGTTCAATATCCTCCAAATGGTCGTATGCTTTTATACGTAAAAGGTGTGAAAGTCTTTCCTTATTTGAACGAAACGTGTAGCCAAATTTGGCAATTCATCTTAACAAGAAATACACACACACAATTTATTTTATACACACACACACATATATAAATTATATAAATAAAACAAAGTCGCGTTACTTGAGAAAACGTCTTTTTGAAAATTGACATTTTATTTCGTAAAAAAAAATATTTAAGTTAAAAAAAAGAATTTTACAAAATATTAAAAAAAAAAAAAAACAATAAAAAAATCAAAATAATAATTATAATAAATAATTTATTTAAAAAATATTTTTATCAAATAAATAATAATTATTATTAAAATTATTATAAAATATTAATTGTCTATTTAATTAAAAAGATTTATAATTATTTATTATTTTAATAATAAATAATTACTATTAATTATTAATTATAATTAATTAAACTAATAATAATTAATTAGTACATTAAACAAATAATAATTAGTTAATTAAATTAATAATAATTAGTTAATTAAATTAATAATAATTAATGAATAATAATTAATAATTAATAATAATTAATATTCAATAATAATAATATTAATAAAAAATAATAATAAACAATTAAAAAAAAATTATAGATTACACCTTGTATAATTAAATATAGTATTAGTATATATTAATTTAATATATTATAGTATTGTTATTATTATATATTATTCTTATATATTGTATTATTATATTATTATATATTTAATTATATTTATAATACAAAAAAATAATAAATAAAGAAAATTTATAAAACAAAGAAAAAATTTATTCTTCGTTAACAATTAATTAATTACTTCAAAAAATAAATATAAAAAAAAAAAAAATAGCAAATGACGTTTTTAATATTCTCTGTGAGCACAAAATGGGATTAATTTAATCATTTGATTAGTCACAGTTGTCAAACCGTGTAAGGGTACTGTTTATATTTTATATTTCTTCTTCTTTCTCTCTCTCTCTCTCTCTCTCTCTCTCTCTGAAGCAATTCTTTCCTACGCAATGCATTTTTTTTTTCATTTAATTTTTTCATCATTTCAATGGAAAAATGGTAAAGAAAAAAAAAAAAAAAAAATTAACAAACAATTGCAAAAAGAAATTAAAATTTCATTTTTTATTTTATTTCCCCGTGTGGAAAAGTGATGTGGGCCCCCAGCGGGGGCCCTTATGGATCGCCCTCATGCCATGAGGGGCGCATATGGATGATCCATAGGGGCCCCTCATGGAAACGACATGCTCATCGATGAGGGCGCCCGCATGGGCGATCCATGAGGGTGCCCCTACGGGCGCCCTTATGGGCCCTCACGTTTGCCCTCATCTTGCCCTCATCTTGCCCTCAAGTTTGCCATAATGTTTTTTAATCAATAATATTAATAATAAAAGTTAATTAATAATAAATAAGCTTAAGTTATGAATAAATAACATATTTATTTAATAATTATTCAATTTTAAATTAAATTCTTACTCAAATTGAATTTATTAATTAACGTTCTAATTAATTAACTGTCGGATATAATTAAAAGTAATAATAAATTAATTAATTAAAAAATTAAAAAATATGTAATTTATGCATACTATTAACCGATATTTTCATTTTTCAATTAATTCATACATAGAATTAATGATTAAACGCAAACCTGAGAAATAAATAAATCTAACGCATGGGGGGAATCGAACCTACGACCTACGGACTATGAGTCTAACGCTTTACCAACTACGCTACGCACGCTACTTCAAAACGAATGCTAACTTCTTGATGCTATTTAAACTTGAAAAATACCTAACAAAGAAAAGTGCTTAACATCATTTAGTTAAAGTTAAGATATTAAATTATATTTTCCAATCAAATGCAATTTATAAAATATAATTAATTATATGCTTTATGATTATTATCATGAATCATCTCAGGCGAATTTTCAAAAAAGTGTAAATATATTTTTATTAAAAACGCGTTTTTCGTTGTTTTGAATCATTGGAAACATTCATTTTTTGTTGATAAAAAAATATTTGATTTTTGGACTTAGAAAATTTTGCTAATCGATCATGAGGGCGATCCATGCGGGCCCCTACGGTGGCCCTCATCTATTTTGCCATAAGTGTGAGTGTTATTTTCAAAAAAGTGTAAATATATTTTTATTAAAAACGCGTTTTTCGTGGTTCTGAATCATTATAAACATTAATTTTTTGGTGATAAAAAAATATTTGATTTTTGGACTTAGAAAATTTTGCTAATCGATCATGAGGGCGATCCATGCGGGGCCCCTACGGTGCCCCTCATGGATTCGCCATATGGATCAGCCCTCATGGGCCCCCGCCGGGGGCCCCGAACTCTTGAGGGCAAGATCGTGGCTTTTTCCACACGGGTCATCAAAAAAAAAAAAAAATTAAATTAAATAAAAAAAAAATTTTTTTTACAAATATAATGTATTTTTTTTTAAATTATAAATACAATAATAATAATAATAATAATAATAATAATTTTAACCTGACAAAATAAAAGAAAAATTATTTTTTCAATTAAATTAAAAATTGGTTTTTTTTTACTTTTAAATATTTTAAATATTTTAATGAAAAAAAAAAGAGAAAAAAAATTTTCTAATAAAGTTTTTCGTGATAAAATAGTTACAATTATGTATTAATATTATTATTATTATTATTTATAATGGAAATTTAATGTTTTTATCTATTTTTATAGTTTTGAAAATTAGTTTTTAATTTTTATTTCCATCAAAAATGAGAGAGAAGAAAAATTTCCTTTTTTTTTTTTAAATATATTTTTCTTCAAAAGAATTTTTAAATTTCAATTCAAATAACAAAAATCAAAGTTTAAACAAAGAAAAACAAATAAAATTACAAACAACAACAAATAATATCATAATAATAACAACAATAATAAGAAGAATAAGAATAAAATAATAATAATAATAATAATAATAATAATAATAATAATAATAATAATAATAATAATAATAATAATAATAAGAAGAATAAAAATAAAATAATAATAATAATAATAAGAATAAAAATAAAATAATAATAATAATAATAAAAAGAATAAGAATAAAATAATAATAATAATAATAATAATAATAATAATAATTCCGTTTATTATTGATTAAATAAATTATTAATAATAAAAAATTATTAAGAAAATAAGTTTTCGATTTTTTTAGAATTATAAATTTTTTTTTTTAAACAAACATTTAGGAAAACTTAAAAAAAGGATTAAAAAGTTAATAAAATAAAAGTGAATGAATTATATAAATAAAAAATAAAATATTATTATTATTATTACTATTATTATTATTATTATTATTATTAAAATACATTTATTTATTTAATAAATAAACGTAAATAAATAAATATATAGAAAATTAATATAGAAAAAAATTGTTAATAAATAAATTAAAATTAACGTTGAAAATGCCAATAAAAAATAATTAAATAACAAATTAATAATTTAAATTATAATTTTTTTTAAATAGAAATAATAGTTATTATTATTAGCTTATATTAATATTATTATTAATAATAAATAATTGAAAATATTAATATTATTATTTATTTCGTAGGGTGTAAAAATTTATTATTATTATTATTTTTTTTCCAAAACAAGTTTAGGAGAGGAAATTATTATATTATTATTATTATTATATTATTATTATTATTATTATTATTATTATTATTATTATTATTATTATTATTTTTAGTATTATATTTTTACTTTTATTTTATTTATTTGTTTTATTTATTTTTATTCATAATTTTATTTGTTGTTGGTTTTGTTTTTTAGAAAAAAAAAATAATAAATAAGTAAAAAAACAATAAATTTACATGTAAATAAATAAATAAATAAATAAAATAATAATAATTTATGAAAAATCAAATAAATGTGATTCTTTTTTCAATCCTTTTTGCGCGTCTACCAAAAATATAATATATACATATAAACGACAAATACACGCAACCAAAAGCCAAAGAAAATGAAATCGAAAGCAAGAAGGGGAGAAATCAATAAATTAAAATAGTAAAAAAAAAACGAACGAACGAACAAACGAAAAAATAGAAAGAAAAGAAAAAGGAGAGAAAAAATATTTTCTTTTTTTTTTTTTTACTCACTTTTGGACTTCCATTGTTGAGCCATGGGACAATATTGTCAATAAACAATCCAATATCTTGACATTCAATACTCTTCAATGGATTCCCGAGGTAATTGAAGAGGAGTGTACCCACGTGGAGTTTCTTTTTAATATCAGTCTCCGACAAAAGTGGCAAAAAGCCATCCATATCCCTTGGATTCACCGCCATATTTATATTTTAATTATTATTATTATTATTTTTTTTTTAAACACCACCCGCGTAGCCGAACAAAAATTATTTTTTTTTACGAAAAGGTTTAGAGGGATGAGAAAGGGGAGGGGGGTTTAACTAAAAACAATAGAATACACTACTTTTTTTTTTTTTCTCACTTGAAACACATAATTTCCACCAATAACTATCAATTAATAACACATTATTGAAGTTTAGAAAAAATTTAACTTTTAATTTTCACTTTTTAAAACACAGCTGCTAATATGTCAAGTATACTTTTTTTTTTTTTTTGTAACAACCTTCTCTATGTGCGTGTATATATGTATATACATATATACAAAAAAAAATCACTCACACTATTCACCAAACATGATCGCAGCGATTATAATGATCGTTGAAGGATAGAAAATTTCACGAATTCATTACTTTTCAAAAATTGTTTTCCATAAAAATGGAGGGGGGAGAGAAAAAAAACACACACACAGGGAGAAAAATTGTCACCTTACCCCCGAAAAAAAACTGCCGAAAAAGATGGCTGAACTGACAAGATCGCGAGTTCTCACTTTCTATATATATATATATATATACACACACGTATGACGATTTATTTGTAAAAAGAATTATTATTATTATTATTATCAAAAACACTCGCGGCTATTATTGTTCTTAAAATCTCTCGTTTTATCGCTAGAATTCACCGGATCATTTTTTTTTTTTTTTTATATTTCTTATATGACAAATCAAAATTTTGCGGATGAAAACCGGAATACACTAAATGTTTTTTTTTTTTTGCAGAGAAATCTTTGTGCAATGAATGATTAATTTGCGATTTGATTTTTTTATAGAATAAAAAAAAAGTAATAATGTCAAGGAAACTGAGGACACTTTTTCGTATTTAATGGGAGTCTCGCCATAACGAAAAACGTCGAAAAACTAACACGGACACACACAATGACACAGACGCAGGGCGCCATGAAATATGTTGTATGTGGTGTAGATTGGAAACTCACTTTTTGGAGGGAAAGAGAGAAAAAGTAAATAAATGCAATTATTGCGCTATTGTGATTGGTTGTTGGATTGCTTACTCAATTCTGATTGGACGACGGAAAGGTAAATTTGTCCTCCCACGGGGGGGATGACAATTATTTAGCGATACGTGATTGGACTGCTAAAAAGGCGGGAAATTTATTTTAAATTTAAATTGATTTTTAAATTAAAAAATGTAAAATTATAAAAGTAAGTAAGTAAATTTTGTTATTTTATTGTAAAATAAATATAAATAGAGAATTTATTATTGTTTTTATTGTAAAATTAATATGAAAATAGAATTATTTGTTATTATTAATATATTATTAAAATTGAAAAAACTATTATAAATAATAAAAAAAAAATAAAATAAATAATAATAATAATAATAAATAAAATAAAAAAATAATAATTAAGTAAATAATAAATAAATTCATTTGTATAAATTTTAAATTTGTGTAAAAATTATTAATAAATTAAAAATATCAAAAAAAAATTTAATTATTTAAGAAAATTGAAACAGAAAAAAAACAGAAAATACTTTTAATGAAAAATTAAATAAATTTAAATAAATAATTTTTTTTTGAAAATTAATAATAAAAAAGGAAAATAGAAAATAAATATAACTTTTATAAATATAAAATATTTATTTCTTGATGTAAATTTTTATTTTTTCATAAAAATTTTATTTTTTACTATAAAATATTATTATTTTTCTTAAAATTAGATTTTCTATACAAATTTGTTTTTTTCTTTAAAAATTATTTTCTTTTGCCACAAACAACTTTTTTATAAAAAAAAACTGTATTTATTAAAAAAAAAAATTTTTTAATTTTAAAAACTCTTTATAAAAAAAAAAAATTTTTTTTTTTAAATTATTTTATACAAACTTTTTATAAAAATTATTTTTTACTTTAAACATTTTTTTTCTAAAAAAATTAATTTTAAAATAAAAATTAATTTTCACTCAATTGTTTTAAAATTTAATAAAATTTAAAAAATAATTAATAATTAATAATTATAAAATTATTTTATAAAAATTAATTTTAAATAAAAAAATTATACTACTATAAAAAAAATTATATTTGAAAATAAACACATTTTTACTATATATTAAAAAAATATTTTTAAAAAAATTATTTAAAAAATAAAAATTTGATTTTTTTTTTGTTTTTTGTAAAAATTATTTTTTAAAATTTACCATTAATTGAGTACATAATGAATCCATGACAATAATTTACTATAATGTTCGATTAATTTGATTTTTGCTTTATCCTCTTTTTCACTGACTGAATTTTCAGTATTTTTTTCGACCTCGTAATTTTCCAAATTTTTATCTATATCCTGCAACAGAAAGTTTTTTTTTTTTTATTTATTAATTAAAAAAATATTTTTTAAATATTTTTAAAAAAAAATTTCAAAAAAATTTATTTTGTAAAAAATATTTTTAAAAAATTATTTAATATATTATGTAAAAAAAAAATTAAAAAAAAAACAAATACAAAAAAAAAGGAAAAAAAAATTTAGATTCACATAAAAATACAAAAAAAAAGAGGGTAAAAAATAAAATTTTTTTTGAATTAAAAATTTCACAAAAATTATAAGAATATATTTTTTATGAAAAAAAAATTTTTAAAAAAAATACAACAAAAAAAAGTATAATTAAAAATTTTTTTATAAAATTTTTTTTTTGTAATTAAAATAATTAAAAAATATAATAATTTTAAAAAAAATTGTATTAATTACCTCGTATATAATATCATAATCCTGATTTTCCGTGTCAATATTTTCATTATTAAAAATTTCAAAATTATCTGTCGCCAAATTATCATAAATTCCTGGACTTTCGTCTTTACCAAAAATTATTTTATCAATTTTTTTCCCCATCTGATAATTTTCATCGTGATTAATAATAGAAAATTTTAATTTTTCACTATTAATAATAAATGATTCGTTGTTTATTTTTTCATTTGAATTATTATTTTTTTGTCCAATCGTTTGATTTGGCGGGAAATTTTCATTATTTAAAATAAGTTGATGATTTTCAATATTTAAAATATCGTAAATTTTTTTTTCAAAATCATTTTTATTTTCATTATTAGGGGAAAAATTAAAATTCCCTTCAGGTAATTCAATTTTAATACCTGAATCAAAATGTTGATGAAAATTTTCATTATTATTATTATTATTATTATTATCTGTTTTTAAAATAAGATAATCATGTTTCACTATTGTATTTCCGGTAATATCCAAATGTGGTGCTTTCATTATAATACGAATTGGAAATGTGAATTTTGAATCGGAATTTTTTTTGGTAATTTCAATTTTTTGCGCGGGAATATTATTAATTTTTGAATTTGTAATTGAACGTACATTTGGAAGTTTTGATTGATTTTTCATTGGGTCGTGATTTAATTTTTCAATTGTAACTTCAATTTCTTCTTTTTGTTTTCCTTCTTCTAATTTTTTCAAAATTCCTTCTTCTATTTCTTCTTTTTGTTTTTCTTCTTCTATTTCTTCTTTTTGTTTTGCTTCTTTTAATTTTTTCGATATTTCTTCATTTTGTTTTTCTTCTTCAATTTCTTCCTTTTGTTTTTCTTCTTCTATTTCTACTTTTTGTTTTTCTTCTTTTTGTTTAGATTCTTCTATTTCTTCTTTTTCCTTTGCTTCTTCTAATTTTTTCGATATTATTTCTTCTTCTATTTCTTCGTTTTGTTTTGTTTCTTCAATTTCTTCTTTTTGTTCAGCTTCTGCAATTTTTTCTCCTATTTCTTCTTTTTGTTTAGCTTCTTCAATTTCTTCTTTTAATTTTTTCGATATTTCTTCTTTTTGTTTTGATTCTTTTAATTTTTTCGATATTTCTTCTTTTTGTTTAGCTTCTTCTATTTCTTCTTTTTGCTTTGCTATTTCAATTTTTTTCGATATTATTTCTTCTTCTATTTCTTCGATTTGTTTTGTTTCTTCAATTTCTTCTTTTTGTTCAGCTTCTGCAATTTCGTCTCCTATTTCATCTTTTTGTTTAGCTTCTTCAATTTCTTCTTTTAATTTTTTCGATATTTCTTCTTCTATTTCTTCTTTTTGTTTTGATTCTTTTAATTTTTTCGATATTTCCTCTTTTTGTTTAGCTTCTTCTATTTCTTCTTTTTGCTTTGCTATTTCTATTTTTTTCGATATTATTTCTTCTTCTTTTTCTTCTTTTTGTTTAGCTTCTTCTATTTCTTCTTTTTGCTGTGCTATTTCTATTTTTTTCGATATTATTGCTTCTTCTATTTCTTCTTCTTGTTTAGCTTCTTCCAATTTTTTCGATATCTTTGCAACTTCAATTTCTTCTTTTTGTGTTGTTTTTTCTATTTCTTCATTTGTTTTTATCTCTTCTATTTTCCCTCTTTGTTTTGTTTCATCTGTTGCATTAAATTCTAATTCTTCTTTTATTTCGATTTCTTCTGTTGTTGTGGTAACTTCTTCTATATCTTCACTTGCTAATGTTACTTCAATTTTTTCTGTCATTTGATAATTTTCTTCTTTGACATTATTTGCTTCTTCAATTTTTTCTCCCCTTTCTGTTGTTGTTGTTTTTATAGCTGTAATTTCTTCATTTGCTAAATTTATAGCTTCAATTTTATCCGTAAAATTTAAAATATTTAATTTTTCTGTTGTTGTTTTTATTTCTTCTTTTATTTTTACTTCTTCTGTTGTTGTTTCAACTTTTTCTTTTATTTTTATTTCTTCAGTATTTTCTTCAATTTCTTCTTTTGCTTCTTCTTTTGTTACTGTTGCTTCAATTTGTTTTATTTTTGTTGCTTCTGTTGTTGTTTCGAATTTTTCTTCATCTTTTGTTATTGTTGTTGTTTCAAAGACTTCTTCTTCTTCTTTTGTTTTTGTTGCCTCAATTTGTATTATTTTTGTTTCTTTTTCTTCTTCTGTTGTTGTTGCTTCAAATTCTTCTTCTTTTGTTTTTGTCGTTTCAACTTCTTTTGATTTTATTTCTTCTTCTTCTGTTGTTGTTGTTGTTGTTGTTTCAAATACTTCTTCTTTTGTTGTTGTTCTTTCAATTTCCTCTGTTGTTGTTGCAAATATTTCTTCTTTTGTTTTTTCAATTTCTTCTTTTGATTTTGTTTTCTCTGTTGTTGTTTTAAATACTTCTTCTTTTGTTTTTGTTACTTCAATTTCTTCTTTAAATTTTGTTTCTTTTGTTATTGTTGTTGTTTCAAATACTTCTTCTTTTGATTTTGTTTCTTTAGTTGTTGTTCCATATTCTTCTTCTTTTGTTGTTGTTGACTCTGTTGTAGCTTCAATTTCTTTGTTTCCTTCTATAACTTCAATTTCATCTTTTGTTGTCATTTCATTAATCGTTTTATTTTCTACTTTCATTTGTTTTTTTATTGCTTCAATTGTTTCGAAATATTTTATTGTTTTTGTCACATCAAGAGGTTTTGTATTTTTTTCATCAATTACTTTTATTTCTTCTTCTATTATTTTTATTTCTTCTTCTATTTGTTTTAACTTTTCTTGTATTATTTTTAAATTTTTATCTGTTAATTTTACGTCTGTTGTTGTCGTTGTTGTTTCAATTTCTTCATCTATTACCTTCACTTTTTCTTCAGATTTATTCATTTTTTCTTCAAATACTTTTAGTATTTCTTCAATTTCATACAATTTTTTGTCAATATTCTTTATTTCTTTATTTCTTGTTTTTTCAATTTCATTAAATAATTTTCTATTTATTTCTTCATTATTTGAGGTTAATTTTGTCATTGATTGTGTTAATTTTTTTAAATTTTCAATTTTTTCATTTATAACTTCTTCTTCTTTTTCTTCATTTTCTTGTTTTTCTTCTTTTTCTAAATAAATAGTTTCATTTTGATTCGTTGAAATTTGAGCCTCATCATTAATTGGCTCATATGGCTTCATTTCTTCAAAATTGTTTGCCTAATTGGACAAATATTGAAATATTATTAAGGAGAGGAAAAAAATAAATTTTTTTTTTAATTATTTAAATTTAGTTTTAATTTATACGTTGTATTATAAGTAGTATAGGAAAAGTGATTCTTTCCTAGGTTCTGATCTCGGCTAAGTACCTACAGTCAGTAACTGCTCGGTTGATAATGCAGATTTCTACTTTATCAGCAGTCGGCAAGGTAGGGATCTGACAAAAAAAAATTTCAAATCGATCGATAAGGTAGGACACTGTTACACCGACTGGACATTGAAATTGGCAAAAACAGTTACCTACATTATCGATCGATTTGAAAAATTTGTCATATCCCTACCTTGCCGACTGCTGATAAAGTAGAAATCTGCATTATCAATCGAGCAGTTACCGACTGTAGGTACTTAGCCGAGATCAGAACCTCGGAATGAATCACTGTTGCTATATTACTGTTATATAATAATAAATATAAACAAATAATAATAAAAATAATAATAATAATAATAAATATTTTTAACGTACTTTACATGGACCACATGGTTCGTCATTAAATGTGGAAAGTATTGCCGCCTTAACATAGGGAAAATGTAAAATACTCCAAGGAACAATCACTTGATATGTTAATTGTCCACAACTAGAAAAAAAAAAATAATTTGAATCAATAATGATAAATATAGAGGTTATTTTACTCCCTAGTTTTAGGGAAAAAAAATTATTCTCCTTCCTAGAGGTAAAAAAAAATTATTTTTCTTCCTAAGGGGTAAAAACGATCATTTTTCTCACTAGGATTATAAAAAAGCACTTTTAACCCCTAGATTATAGTTGATATTTTATTATATGTGACGCACTTAAAAAAAAAAATGCAACTGAAAAGTAAAAAAAAAAAAATTATAGGTTATGTTACGTTAACTATCATAAACATAACCTATAAATTTTTTAACCAAAACCACCAAAAACAACCTATGATTTTTTAAACTATAAAACTAACGTAAAAATTAACCTATAATTTTTTTTCAACAAAAACTTCTAAAAACATAACCTATAATTTTTTTTAACTACAACTATTATAGACATAACCTCTAATTTTTTTTTTTTTGAACAAAAGTATACAAAAATTATCAAAAACTATTCATTTTTTTTAATAAAAACTATCATGAACATAACCTATAATTTTTTTTTAATCAAAACTATTATTAACATAACCTATAATTTTTTATGAATCAAAATATGAAACAATCATAAACATAAGCTCTAATTTTTTTTTTTTTTTTTTTGAACCAAAGTATTAAAAAACTATCAAAAACAAATCAATTTTTTTTTTTACCAAAACTATCATAAATTTTTTTTTCTTTTTGGTCCCTTTTCACAAAGTGCGTCACACATTAAAATTAATTATATAATAAAATATATATTATTTATCAACTTATTATATAATTGACAAGAAAAAAAAAATTATTAATATTAAAAAAAAAAAATTATTATTCAAATAAAATTAAAAAAAAAAAAAAAAATTCTTTTTTTTTTCAAAATTAATTACTAACCCATCAACAACAATAATTTGATCACGTGAAACATGAAGTTTTTTCCATATTTCAAAATTATTATTATCTTGTATAAAAATAATTTCATTTCCCAATATTTCTTTTAATAATTCTATAGAAAGTTTAACATGAGGAAAATCATTATTATCATCATCATCATCATCAGTCGTTTCACTTGAATTAATTGTCATCCATGTTTTTTTCTCAACATCAATTTCCGTTTGATGTGTAATTGTCGTTGGCATTGAATTAATAACAAAAAAATTAATATCCATTAAGCCAAATCTTTCGAAACGTCCTTTTAAATCTTTTAGCCTGAAAAAAAAAATTATTATTTTATCACATATGTACGTTTCATTATTATTATTATTATTATTATTATTATTATTATTATTATTATTATTATTATTATTATTATTATTATTATTATTATTATTATTATTATTATTATTATTATTATTATTAACAATTTTTTTATTTTTATTAATTTATTTTTTAGTAATAATATTTTTTTTGATAATAATAATAATAATTAAAAAAAATAATAATAATGACAATAACGATTTGACAATAATTATTATAATTATTATAATTATAAAATAATTAAAAAAATTCTTTTACTAGAATTAATGTAATATTATATTTCTTAGGGTTAGAAATAGGTGATTTTATTTTCTAGGGTAAAAATTAATAATTTTTCTCCCTAGGGTTAAAAAGAGCTACTTTTGAACCTAGAGATTAAAAAAATTCATTTTTCTGTTCTAAAGTTATAAAGAGCTTCATTTTTTTTTAATATATTAATTTATGGAATGCATAAATATAAATAAAAATACATGTTTAATAATAATTGTAATAATAATTATAATAACAATTATAGTAACAATTATTATTATTATTATTATTATTATTATTATTATTATATACATTATTATTATAATTGTAAAATATAAATAAAGTTATTACTAGAATTAATTTAATATTATTTCCTCCGGTTAAAAAGAGGGCATTTTATTTCCTAGGGTTAAAATCAGCAATTTTACTCCCTAGGAATAAAAATAGCTACTTTTGACCCTAGAGATTAAAAAAAAAAAATCATTTTTCAGTTCTAAAATTACAAATGATGACATTTTGCATCAATGTAGTAATTTATAAATAAAAAAATTTTTATTTATATTTAAATAAATTTAATAATAATAATAATAATAATGAAAAAATAAAAAAAAATAATAATAATAAAAATTTATAATTATCATTTACATAACTGCCTGTCGATGACTGTATTGCCATGTTGCATCGAGAAATGCTACAACATTAACTTTTCCATAAAAATTAACTTCATTTGAAAAATTAACAATTGCACATTGCTCTAAATATCCTCCTCCATTGTTTGTTTGACGTTTTCTCAATTTATTGAAAATATTGTGCCTCTTACGAAATGGCAAATATTCCTTTCGCAATTCCGATAATGATGGTGAGACGCATAGAAAAATTGATAATAAAATGAAATTCATCGTTCACTGTTGAGGGAAAAAAAAAAATTATTATTATTAAAAATTTTTTTTTTAATTAAAAAAAGAAATAAAAAATTAATAAACAGTGCTGGCTCTAGGGTAGGGGGGGGGCACCCTAGGCGCCAAATTTTTAAAAAAAGCAATATTAAAAATAAAAATATATTTTTATATAAAAATAATTAACTATTTAAAAAAAAATTATAATAATATTCAGGGCTGTCTCTAGGGTAGGGGGGTGCCACCCTAGGCGCCAAATTTAAAAAAAAGCAATATTAAAAATAAAAATATATTTTTATATAAAAATAATTAACTATTTAAAAAAAAATTATAATAATATTCAGGGCTGGCTCTAGGGTAGGGGGGTGCCACCCTAGGCGCCAAAAAGAATGCAATATTAAAAATACAAATATATGTATTTATGCCAAAAAAAAATTTATTTAAAAAAAAAAATAATCAGGGCTGCCTCTAGGTTGGGGGTAGCCACCCACCTTATTTTAAGGAAGCGATATTAGAAATACAAATATATTTTTTATTTTATTGTATTTATGAGAAAAAATATTAATTATTTTTAAATTAAAAGAAAAAAAAATATACAGGGCTGGCTCTAGGGTATTTGGTCACCCTAGGCGATAAATTTAAAAAAAATTTATTTTTATTGCAAATATATTATAAATAATATTTCTAGTATTTATAAATTATATTATTATTATTATTATTATTTTAAATAAAATAAATAATAAAAATAATAATAAATAATAAATATAACAATTTAAAATCAGGACTAAATAAAAAAAATAAAATACAATATAATAAAAATTATGTTAAAAATATTTATTATTATTAAAAAAAAAAAAAAAAAAGAATGAAAAATATTAGTTAATTTATGTATATATTATATTGGAAGACTCGCTTTTAACCAAGGACAGCCGGCTTTGCGCTTATGTATGGGGCATTCCATATGAAATTTTCCATTAAAAAAAAAAAAAAAAATTATATGTATAAAAATTTTTCAATTAAAAAAAAAAAAATACAAAAACAATTTTACAAAATTCTTTCAATTTTGAAAACGTAATATTCTTTTTTCTTTTTAATAAAATTCTCAAAAGTTATGTTTATTTATTTATTTATTTTTTTAAATTCAATTTCTGTTAATATAGAAGCAATTTTCTCTATTGCAGTAAAATAAATAATTATTTATTTATTTATTTAGACATTTCATGTAAAATTAAAAAAAAAAAAATTTTTTTTATTTTTTAAATTAAAAAAAAAATTGTTTTTTATTAATTATTAAAAATTATCATTTTTTTTCTACTTATTTTTTAGTTTGCAAAAAAACATACTTTGAATAATATAAATATAAATATTATTTACTCACCAAATTGATAATTTATATATATATATATACACACACTTATCGTCTAATTATTTATGAAATTAATAATAGTTGCTTATATGTACAAAATAATAATAATAATAATAATAATAATAATAATAATAATAAACATTCAATTAAAAAGTGAAAATTTATGTAAATATTTTGTAAATATTACAATATTTGTAAAATATAAGATTAACGTGAAACATTAAAAAAAATTATAATTATAAAATACTTTATAAAAAAATAAAAATTTATAAAAAAATAATAATAATAATAATAAAAACTTTAAAAACAATGAAAAAAATAAGAAAATTTATTTTAACTCGCGCTTCATGTATCTCGAATGCAGTTCACTCGGAAACTGTTTTCCCTTCTAGATGCATTTCTCTCATAATGCTTCTTAAGTGACCCATCTTCGAATATCCCATCCACAAATAAGTGTATATATATATATATAGGTATATAATGCGTATATCCCTTTTTTCATCTTTCCACTTGAACAAACAAAACTTATTTCCTCGCTTATTTCCTATTTTATTTCAAAAATATTAAAAATTTTAGTAAAAAAAAAAAAAAAAAAAAAATTTGACTACAAAAAAAATTTGAATATAATAATTTGGATTAAAAAAAATTGACTACAAAAAAAAAAGAATATAAAAATTTGACTATAAAAAAATTAGATTTTTAACTAAAATTTAAATGAAAAATAAAATTTTGACTATAAAGAAAAAATTTGACTATAAACATAATTTTCATTTTTCAATTTAATTTTAATTATAAACTTATTTTTGACTATAAACCTAATTTTGATTTGAAATCTAATTATAACTAAAAATATAATTTTTGACTATAAACAACAATTTGACTATAAAATCTAATTTTGACTATAATTTTCACTTATAAATCTAATTTTTATAATAAATTTAATTTTTACTGTAAATAAAATTTTTGACTATAAATAAAATTTTAATTTTAAAATTTGATATTGACTGTAAATTTAAATTTGACTACAAATATAATTTTTGACTATAAACAAAAAATTTTACTATAAACCTAATATATAAATATAATTTTTGACTATAAACAAAAAATTTTGACTATAAACCTCATTTTGATTAGAAACCTAATTATGACTAAGAATATAATTTTTTACTGTAAACCTAATTTTTATAATGAACCTACTTTTTACTATATAAAAAAAAATTTGACTATAAAATTTTGATTTGAAACCTAATTATGACTAAAAATATAATTTTTGACTATAAACAAAAATTTGACTATAAACCTAATTTTGATTTGAAACCAAATTAGAATTATAAATATAATTTTTGACTATAAATCACATTTTGACTATAAACAAAAATTTTGACTATAAACGTAATTTAGATTTTTACCCTGATTTTGACTATAAATTAAATTGCAACTATAAATCTAATTTTGACTATAAACTAGATTTTAATTATTACCCTAATTTTCAACAATAAATAAGAATTTCAATATATATATAATTTTGACTGTAAATAAAAAATTTGAGTTTAGGCAAACCTAATTTTGAATACATGTATATAAATTTTTTCTCTATAAACTTAATTGTGATTATACATAAATGTAATTTAAACTTTAAACCAAAATTTAACTGTATATTTATAATTTTGACTATAAAACAAAAGATTTGACTTTAGGATTAAGAAGCTAATTTTGACTATAAAATAAATTTAAACTATAAATCTAATTTGGAATTCTGTCTACAAATCTAATTTCGTTCATAAACAAAAATTTCTATATAAATAAAAATTTAACTTTAACTATAAATATAATTTTGACTAAAAAATTAATTTTCTTTTTAAAACTAATTTTTAAAATTTAACTTATTTTTGACTAAAAATACAATTTTGAATATAAAAAAAATTTTTGATTATAAACCTAATGTTGATTATAAACCAAATTTTGACTATAGAGAAAAATTTTGACTATAAAATTAATTTCGATTTTAAATCTAATTATGACTACAAATATAATTTTGATTATAAACCTAAATTTCATTCTAAACCTAATATTAAAAATAACTAAATCTAGTTTTGACTATAATCAAATTTGACTATAAACCAAAAATTTGACTGTAAACATAATTTTGACTATAAACAAAAATTTGCTTATATATATACCTAATTTTTAATGTAAATAATAAATTTGATTTTATGTAATCCTAATTTTCACTATAAACCTCATTTGTACTATAAACCTAATTTTGACTACAAACCAAATTTTAAGTTTCATCATAATTTTGACTATAAATATTTTGAGTATAAACCTATTTTTAACTTTTTTTTATAATTTCGACTATAAATATTATTTGGACTATAAACCTAATTTTTACTATATCCAATTTTTTTTTACTATAAATTAGTAAATAAGTCTTATATTTTTGTAAACACAGTACTTTGTACGACAGGGCTTTATTACGATATTGCCCGTGTAAATAAATAAATAAATAAATAAATAAACTTAATTGTTATTAAAAATCTAAGTTTGACTATAAACAAAAATTTGTATATAAATAAAAATTTAACTATACCCTTTATTTTGACTATAAACCTCATTTATACTATAAACCTTATTTTGACTACAAATCAAATTTTAAGTTTCATCATAATTTTGACTATAAGTTTATTTTGACTATAAATATTTTGAGTATAAACCTAATTTTAACTTTTTTTTAATAAATATTATTTGGACTATAAACCTAATTTTTACTATATCAAATTTTTTTTTGACTATAAAACTTAATTGTGATTAAAAATTTAAGTTTGACTATAAACAATAATTTGTATATAAATAAAAATTTAACTATACCCCTTATTTAAACTATAAACCTAATTTGTACTATAAACCTAATTTTGACTATAAATCTAATTTTTGACTATAAACCTAATTTTTGTCTATAAACGAAAATGTGAGTACTAATAAAATAAAATTACAAAAAAATTTGACTACATAAAATTTTTAAATACAAAATATTAAAAATAATCAACAATAAAAGATTTGACTATAAATAATGTATAGTAAATAAAAAATTTGACTGTAAAACAAATAAGTCCACAAAAAAAATTAGAAACTTTAATGAAAATTGCCCGTAAAAAGTTTATGTAAGAAAAATTAAAAAAAAAAAAAAAATACTACATTATTAAATGTTGCATTTATCTATTTATTTAATTTTATAGAATAATAAAGTAATAAAGATATATTTTAAAAAAATATATATATAAAATGTATAAGTTTATTCATAATAATTTGTTTTCCTTTATAGATAATTTTATATGAAAAATTGTTATTTTTTCTTATAATACTTGGATGAAAAAAAAACAAGTTTGGCTATGTTCGATGGTAAAATAAAAAAAAAAAAAAACAATAAATTTTAGTGTTTTCTTGCGGAAGGAGAGATAAGAGTGGCAATTACTATATATATAGAGAAATATTTTGCGACGAGAAATTCATTTAACATTAAAATTTTAAACCATTAAAAAGTAATAACTTAACTTAAAAAAAAAAATAAAAATGAAATATACTACATCAATGCTTGTTCTTCTTGTCCTTCTCGTATTAACGGCTAATTACGTCGAAGGTATGATATTAAAATTAATAATTGAAAATTTTTTAAAAAATTCAATTTTAGTTAAATTTTGACTACAAAAAAAATTATTTCAAACATTTACAAAAAGTAATTTTTTTGTAATAATTTAACTGAAAAATTTTATAATTATTCAAAAATATTGAAAAACATTAATTTTTAGTCAAATTTGACTACAAATGAAATATTCGAAATTTGACTACAAAATTGACAAATTTATACTATAAGAGTTTGTGAATAATTAAGTAATATGTAAAAAGAAAGTAATTTTACTTTAATTTGATTAAAATATTTTGACTATATTTTGACTATATTTTGACTATATTTTGACTATATTTTGACTATATTTTGACTATATTTTGACTATATTTTGACTATATTTTATTATTATTTGCCAACTACAAATTTTGTATAAATTATATTCAAAATATTTTGACTATAATTTAAGTAAAATATTTTAAGACTATAATTTTGACGGTACTTTGACTACAATTTGACTGTAATTTGACTATATTTTGACTACAATTTATTATAATTAGCAAACTACAAATTTAGTACAAATGAAATTGAAATTTTTTTGACTATACATAATTCAATTAAATTAATTTAAGACTATATTTTGACTATAATTTTGACTATAATTTTGACTATAATTACCAAACTACAAATTTAGAATAAATTGAATTACAAATCTCATGACTATAATTTAATTAAAATATTTTAAGACTATAATTTGACTATACTTTGACTACAATTTGACTATAATTTGATTATAATTTGACTATCTATATTTATATATTGACTATATTTGACAGAAGTTGACTACAAAAAAAAATAAATACAAAAAATTTGACTACAACAATAGTTGACAACAAAAACATTTGACTAAAAAAATTTTAAAACTAGAATTAAAATTTACTGCAATAAAATTTGACTACAAACAAATGACTATAAAAATTTTGACTACAACAAATTTTTACACCATGTAAGATTGACTACAAAAAAAGTTGACTAAAAAAATTTGACTACAACAAAAATTGACTGTAAGTAAAATACTTTATTATTTTATTAAAACAATTTTTGACTACAATGAAAATTTACTAAAAAAAATTTTGACTACAATGAAAATTTACTATAAAAATTTTTGACTACAAAAAAATGACTACAATCATTTTTGACTAAAAAGAAATTTGAAAGCAAAAGTATTTGACTAAAATGAAAATTTTCTATAAAAAAAGTTGACTACAAAAAAATTTGACAGCAAAAAATATTTGACAGCAAAAAATATTTGACTAAAAAAAAATTTGACTACAATGAAAATTGACTAAAAAAAACATATGTTGACTACAAAAAAATGACTAAAAAAATTTTTTGACTACAAAAAAATTTGAATAAAAAAAAAATTGTCAGCAAAAGTATTTGATTAAAAAAAATTTTCACTACAATGAAATTTTACTATAAAAAAATGTTGACAATAAAAAAATTTGACTACAAAAAAATTTTTGACTACATTGAAAATTTACTACAAAAAAAAAAAATTGGAAAATTCCTAAAATATTGAAATACAAAATATAAAAATAAAAACCTAATGAGGGTGAAAAAAATTTCTTTTTTTTTTCTTTCAGGTGCAACGGAATGTAAAGTAAAAGGAGAATCAGGAACTTGTTCAAGTTCAATATTTAAATGTAAGGAAGGAATGAAATTAGGAAGACCAC